AAAAAAAAAAAAAAAAGCCATAGAGAGAAGACCAGTCCCCTGTTTTTATAGTTCTAATTTTAGACAGAACGTGATAAACAAAATGATAATTATGTTAGAATAGGCAGTATTTTGAAAACACTAGATGAAGTTACAGAGATGGGGCATATGCTTAAATTCACACACTTAATCGGACTATTATGATTAGATGTTACATGCAGCATTACTTTGGCTCCAAAGGAAAGGGAAATGTCTAGCTGCATGCAATCTTATTTCGAGTTTAAAGAATGCAGCATTTCTTTGTGATCTACAAATATTATGTTTCTAATCCCACATCTTTCAGTTAACATGGGAAATTGTGGAATATAAATAAGGTGAACAAGTAATGCAGATCATGCCACAAGAGACACGTGTGGATCAAATTCATTAACCCAGCCCAGGAAAATCCTCGGGCCTTCTCTGCAGAGATGCAGCGTTGTACAAAGGAAATTCTCTCACTTGTGTGAGTGGTTGAGATGTGTGGAGCCGTTGAATTTCATTCATGATTACTTGGCCGATAATACATTACCATCTTGTGGCACATTTTTTTTATTTTAAGTTTGATTTAAATTTAAAGGTTTTAATTTCACAAAGATTTATCTTGGTAATTATATGCTACCCTCTATAATTTTCACAACAGCATGAATTTTTCAATCGCACCAGAATTTGATGAAAAGAAATCAACTGTTACCTGTTGATTCATATGCTTAAGTTCACACAATGAATCAGACTATTATACCTAGACATTAGATGCAGCATTACTTTGTTTATTGTGAAACCATGTGCATTGCATCACTCTTCAACAACTTTGATACATGCTTAATTTAATTAAACAACCTTAGCTAACAAATAGTTAGGGTGAAACCAAGAATTTGTTGTGGTGAGGGTTGGAATTTTTATATGGATGAATATTGATAGTACAAAAATATTATTCATTGAGAAAAACTAATAGAAATTGTGGTTGTTCTATCATTTATAATTATAGTTTTTCTTTGTTTAGGTATTTATCAGTGAAGCTGCAGCATCAGGCTGCTGATCATAAATGGTACAAGACTTCCTCTGGACGAAATGTTGCCAAGGAATGACGCTCTGGGAGGCTAGATTTTTGTTTGCAACAACGAAATAATGCAAGAAGATCTTTGCCGCCAACTCTTTGGTAAAATTTCAAGCCCAATTCTAAAAATTAGTGTAAAATAAAAAAGTGAAGAAAAAAAACATTTTCTCATTTTTTATAGCTTTTAATTTTGATAACAGTTTTTGAATTATGATTGTAGGACTTCCACAGGATTCTATAAGGGCAATAACTCCTGGATTGCCTCTTTTTCTCTATAGCTATACTGCTCACTAGCTTAACGAAGTTTTTCAGGTTTGTTTAGTAATGTATAATTAGATTTTAATCACAATTAATGTATAGAAAAAAATAAAAAAGAATTAAGTTTCTAGTTTAATTCAAATAGCTAAGAACTTGATAATACTTTTCTTGAATATTAAAAATTTATTTCAAATTTCTATTTTTCTTTTTTATTTATAAATTAAGGCTGTAAGTTTTGGAGGGTCAAACATTGAGCCATCTGCATGGGAAGATAAAAAGTGCAGAGGAGAATCAAAGATTTCCAGCCCAGGTAATATTAATTTTTTAATTATTATTACTCTAAGTTAGAACTGGAAATTGAAGGAGAATAATTAATAATGATTATGTATATATAGACTTCTTTTATTTTAATTCTTAGGATTAATTTTGTTTACTTGTAATTGATTCACAAAGTGTTGTTTTATTCCTAATATTGATTTTAAAAAAAGAAAAAAAAATCTAGATATGCAGAGTGACTTTGATAATAAATCGATAATGTTACCAAATCGATGTTGTTAATTGGGATAGTATTCGACTGGCATCTAAAAAAACTTTGCTGTATTTTAAAGAGAAATGCGAAAAACACTTTGTTCTCTTTTGTATATGTGTTAAAAAGAGAGTGAGAAGTGAAAAAGAGACGATACTTAGCATTTCACATATTTTGAATGTCAATCTAATGTTTACTATTTTTCGGATGGAGTCAAACTTACAATTTAGTTGTCAATAAATGATTCTAATTTTAAAATATTTTGGATATAATGCCATGCGTATGTACGCTTTTAATTATTGGTCTTATGATATTATCAAATTGATATAAGCGATTTCTCGGTATGGCATAATAGAAATTTACTATTGTGATTTTTATTATTATTATTATTATTATTTTTTGGAATATATAGTTGATTAATGTTTCAATTGGATATATTGCAGGCACTCATGTTATTGGACTTGTTCAAAGAGGAGGAAATGTAAAGGAAGAAAAGACGATTATATACTTGAGTTAACATTAGCTATAAAAATGTCAAAGTACTAGGAACATAAAATTACTTTAACTTAGAAGATTATATGGAACTTGAAGATCATGTATACTACTACAAATTAAATAAAAATTCATGTAGAAAATTACTACAAAATATTATTGTTTGGAAATTGTGATACAGTAGTTAGAAATTTATGCCCAACCAAAAAGAAAAAAAAAAAAAAAAAAAAAAAAAAAAAAAAAAGCAGGAAAATGAACATCAATTTTTTTTTTTTTTTATTGTTATTAATTAATGTATTTTAGAGGATTATATATGTTTCCTGTAATGTAGGAATTTGAAATCTCTTAACTCTTAAGTTTATAAAAAATAATATTCATTTTGCTTTTAAGTTTAAAAAATTGGTTAATTTATTATTAACCCATTTTAAATGTATGTTTAGAAAGCTAATTCGCAAATAAGGAGGTGTATTTGATATTATGACGAAAAGGGTGGCCCCAAAAATTGGTTCCTTTCGAGCCTTTATTTTCTTGTGTAAACTTCACCGTATGGGATCTCTGGTATAATAACAAATTCATCCCTTAGGTTTGGCAAACTTTTGTGGCTCCAATGAAATGTGAAAGTGACACTACAAGCCCTGTCTATCTTTGTTAGTTATGTAAGATGATTAATGTTGTGAACAGAACAGAGAATTAATGACCTGTTATAATTTGTAACGCATATTGCAATGACTTCGACATATCTTACATGAAGGAATACTTTGTTTAGAAACTAGAACTCTGATAGGGTTGGTAAGATATGCAAAATAAGGATGCAGAAAGACAATCACACAACACCAAATTAACGTGGTTCGGCAAAACCTTGCCTACATCCACGGATGTGAGTCAAATGACTAAAATAGAGAATGATAGTATGAGTCTAATACACTCACGTTATACCCAATCCAAACCTGAAACCCGTGTACACCCTTCTCTTATATCTCTTTCAACACTGCCACTTTATGCACACAAATCCCAAAAGCTGAAATTTTCTTCTGTAATCTACAACTCCTATTATTTAAGAAGTCCTCACAACACTCACTCTTTACCCATACATTTTCTTAACATCACCACCCACAAGCCTATATATAATCAAAGAAGAAGAGGAGATGAACATATTAATTTTATTTGGACAAAAGAAACCATCTCAAATCCGGTGCTTACATTGCTGTCTAAGCCACTGCAAGTTTTCAGGCTTCTTATTCCTCTTATCCATGCAACAAGTTCACAGTGCCATGGCGAATGAGTAGATTTTATATCATATAAGGGACAACAGGCTTCCCTTGTCTTTCTTGCACTGAGCTGTGAATTATCAAGGGATAGACATCAAAATTTGGGTTGCAATTAGGCAAAGCAACAACAAAAAAGCAAATTTGAGAATATTTTTAATAAGTTCATTGGTAAGTACTTGAGATTATCTTATCCAGCAAGCCTTCTTTGAAAAAGGTTCAAGAAGAGAACTTCTCTTGATGATCTCCATAAGCTCAAGAGATGCAATATTGGAGATTTTTGCACTCTTTGATCCTACAGAATGGTAATTAGCTTTTCATCGTTACAAAGACCTCAAAATGTATAAGAATTCCTGATATGAGTAGGAAATGTCATACCAGCATCGAAAGTGAGATCTCAAGAGTACCGTGAATCATTTTCTGATCAACACTGCTTTAGTCACTCCATTCATAGGATACACCTTGAACATTAACAAATACAAATTATGTGGAAATGCTCTCCCAATAAAAAAAGGCAATGATCTGGGGAAAATATAAGAATAAGTCTACATAAGTGGAGAAAGAATACCTCAAGTGCTTGCAATAGATAGAGGTCCATCACCTTGGGTTTGCTCTCACTCCTTAATTAAATGAATCAGACAATAGACTAACAAAGTGGCATAACCCATGAAAAGTGAGAATAGCAAGTGATGGAGGAAATATAAGGCTATCTCGTTTGTCAATAACAAATTGAAAAAAAACAATAAATAATGAAGAATAAGACAATTTTAACCTTTTACATGGATTTGGCCTCTTCTTGAAAAACATAATTTATTGGCTTCCAGCCTTCTAATCAATGCAGAGAGTTACTTTATATACAGAGCACACCAACAGAGCAATAATACAATGTTAAATTGCTATCGAAAGTTGTCAGATCAAAATTGTAAAATCATAGCACGAGAGTTATTTCATACATTACACATATGTCGATAGAAAAATCCACTGTCATCGTCCTCTTCTCTACCAGATGAACTACCGTAAGGGCTAGGTCAGTCTTGTGCCAATGAGGGCAGCTTGATCCTGTGAATCAAAGATGATCTAGGATACATTAACTAAGAGTTTAAATATAAAAGGTATGTCAAAAATGTTTACATACAGCTAGATAAGGACAATTTATGGCATTGCAATCGCAGTTGATTTCATTTCACCTCAACAAAGAATCTCAAGTCTGGCAACCAATATTGGGAAAGAACTTTGGCAGATATTATCTATATAATCAATAATTGAAAACATTGAATTTGTGTTGAAGACTTTCTTTGGTTACCTTTCACCCACAAAGAGTTGAAGAAATTGATGACTTCAAAAAAATGGTATATAAAACTTCAAATTTCAAGTATTCTTGTATCAAAATGTCCTACTCCACTCTTGGATTGAAAAAGCAGAATATATTCAACCCTATTTTATGATTGTAATATGGAAAACAATTCACATGTTTGAAATCGACAAACCTGAAATTGGAATGAGACTCGGATTCTGCTCTTAAATTTTACTCCTGAGTGGTATAGAGCTTAACTCTATTGAAACACAAAAGATGAGGAAAATAATTCAAATTATATCTTAATACAAACTCAAATACCAAAATAAATCACAATTTAAATTTCTTTAGTTACCTTTCTCCCGCGAGAGTATCAGATTGAAGAATGTACTCCAGATTTGAGATTTCAGCTATCCACTTGGTTCATCCTAAAAAATATATGATTAAATCTAGTGAACCAAACAAAATTAAGACAGAAAAGTTATAAATAAGACAAGTGACAGACAAATTGCAGTACAAGGTGTTAGAAAACAAGGCAATTAAAGTTAAACGAAAAACAATTTTAGGAAACTTTGAAGTTAAGGAGGAGGATAAAGAAAATAGTGAAAGAAAATGACCAACCTGGATTGAAGTGAGATGATTCTTTGATTCTTGATACTCTTCCTCCTTTGAATTGAAGATTAATTTCCATCTATGCAATTAGGGATGTGAGCAATCTTTGAGTAGTATTTTCCTCTACCCCTTTTCCACCGTCTTTTTAACAATGGACAATGCTTAATACTTAAAGATAGAGTGAGGGTGGCAGGCTTTGCAATGATTTCAGCTTTGGGCATTCCTTAACGGACAAAGACTTAAGAGAGGTGAGGCTTCCCAGATCTGGAACGGATTTGAGCTTTGGGCATTCATCAATGAACAATGCTTCAAGAGAGCTGAGGTTCCTAAGTCTGGAATGGATTCGAGGTTTGGGCATTGTGAAATGAACAAAGATTCAAGAGAGGTGGGCTTCCCAAGTACGGAATGGCTTTTAGCTCTCGAAAATTGTTGATTCCTAGAGAGGAGACGCTTTGAAGACCCAAAGTAGATAGAGAAGATAGAGAGGATGGCATTACCGTGCTATCTTGAGAATTTGGCTATGAATCTTCACGTTTAGTAATAAAGAGGCCTCTAAGAAAGGTCAAGTTGTGCAATCCCCCTTCTATTTGTGACTTATAGATTATGTTGGTTGGAACACCTTCTTCTGCAAACAAGATTGGACAATTCATTACATGTAATGTTTGTAGAGATTTTGGAAATTTGAAGGATATTTCCATATTTCGACATTCAAATATCATAATACTCCAAAGACATGTAAGATTGCTTAGGTCTGAAGGTACATATTTAAGGTTGTCACAACACAAAAATTTAATATCTTTGAGACATGCGCTATTTTCAAAAGTCCCTATTATTGACTCTAGCTTTGAACAATGGTTAATATGGAGGCGTTCAAGTGCCTTAGGAAAACCCCACTGTGTAGATGATAGAGTTGTGAGCTCTAGGCATGTCTGAATGCTAAGTTCTTTGAGTGTGTCAGGCAAACAATCATTTGATGATATGCACTTGAGAGATAGACAACAACTAATCTTCAAGCACTCCAAACGAGTATTACTCAAATCCTTAATTAAATGAATCAGACAACAGACTAACAAAGTGGCATAACCCATGAAAAGTGAGAATAGCAAGTGATGAAGGAAATATAAGGCTATCTCGTTCTGTATATAATAAATTGAAAAAACAAATAAATAATGAAGAAGAAGATGATTATTAACCTTTTTACATGGATTCTGGCCTCTTTTTGAAAAACAAAATTTTACTGGCTTCCAACCTTCCAATCAATGCAGAGAGTTATTTTAGGTACAGAGCACACCAACAGAGCAATAATACAACATTAAACTGCTATCAAAAGTTGTCAGATCAAAATTGTAAAATCATAGCGTGAGAGTTATTTCATACATTACACATATGTTGACAGAAGAATCCACTGTCATCGTCCTCTTCATCTATACCAGATGAACTACCATAAGGACTAGGTCAATCTTGTGCCGATGAGGGCAACTTGATCGTTTGAATCAAAGATGATCTAGGATTACCATTTACTAAGAGTTTAAATATAAAAAGTATGTCAAACATGCTTACATGCAGTTGGATAAGGAAAATTTTATGGCAATGCAGTCGCAGTCTGATTTCATTTCACCTTAACAAAGAATCTCAAGTTTGGCAACCATATATTGTGAAGGAACTTTGGCAAATATTATCTATATAAATCAATAATTGAAAATATTGGAATTTGTATTGAAGACTTTCTTTTGGTTACCTTTCACCCACAAGAGTTGAAGAAACTAATGACTTCAAAAAAATGGTGTAAGAACTTCAAATTTCAAGTATTCTTGTATCAAAATGTCATACTCCACTCCTGGATTGAAAACTGTAGAACAACGAAATGGAATATATTCAACACTATTTTATGATTATAATATGGAAAACAATTCACATGTTTGAAATCGACAAACCTGAAATTGGAATGAGATGATTCTCTAAGTAGTTCTTCATTTTGGGATCTAAAAAGACTCGGATTCTGCCTACAAATGTTACTCCTCTGAGTGGAAGAAGCTTAACTCATCTGAACTACAAAAAGATGAGGAGATTAATTCAAATTATATCTCTAATATCAGAACTCACATACCAAACTAAATCATAATTTAAATTTCTTTTAGTTACCTTTCACCCTGGGTTGAAGAAAAATTACCAAACTGGGTTGAAGTGAGATGATTCTGTGATTGGATGTTGTGAAATCAAATAACTACACTTATTCGCTGTCGTCTTCCATGTCTTTCATGTCTTCCTCCTTTGAATTGAAGATTACTTTTCGATCTATGCAAACTCTAGGGATGTTAGCAATCTTTGAGCAGTATTTTCCTCTACCCCTTTTCCACCGTCTTTTTAACAATGGACAATGGTAAATACTTAGATAAAGAAGTGAGGGTGGCAGGCTTTGCAATGATTTGAGCTTTGGGCATTTCGAAATTCTCAAACATCCAAGAGAGGTGAGGCTTGCTAGATCTGGAAAGGATTTGAGCTTTGGGCATTTCAAAATGGACAGAGATTTAAGAGAGGTGAGGCTTCCCAGATTTGGAGCGGACTTGAGCTTGGGGCATCTTTGAATACACAAATTTTTAAGAGAGGTGAGGCTTCCCAAGTCTGGAATGGATTCAAGGTTTTCACAATTCTCAATTTCCAAACAACCAAGAGAGATGAGGCAGCCCAAGTCTTGAATGTTTATTAGATTTGGAAAATTGTCGATAGTCAACGATTCAAGAGAGGTGAGGCTTCGAAGACCCAAACTAGATAGAGAAGTTAGAGAGGAGGTAGTTCCCGTGCCCTCTTGAGAATTCAGCTCTGAATCTTCACATCTAGTAATATGAAGTTCTCTAAGAGAGGTGAGTTTCTTCAAGGCCCCCTCTATTAGTGACTTATAGATTTTGGCACCTTCCCAAACAAAGAGTCCTGTTAGGCTGGTTGGAACGCCTTCTTCTGCAAACAATATTGGACTATCCTTTATAACTAATTCTTGAAGAGAGTTTGGAAATTTGAAAAATGTTTCCATCTTTGGACAACCCCATATGTAAATATTCTGAAGACATGTAAGATTGTGTAGGTCTGAAGGTACAAATTTAAGTTTATCACATTTCGAAAACCAAATGTCTTTCAGACACGTGCTATTTTCAATCTCTATTATTGACTCTAGCTTTGAACATGAGACAACAGAGAGATGTTCAAGTGAAAAACAATTTAATGATATGCACGTGAGAGATTGACATTCTCCAATGTGCAAGAACTCCAAATGGGTAGCACTCAAATCCTCCAAGCGTTCTAAGTGCTTACAATTTTCTATCTCAAGTTCTTTCAAAGATAAAGGTAGTATACCTCCTTCAAAGACTGTTAGAGAATCACAGTCTTTAATTACAAGCTTTTCTAGATTGTTTTGCTTCAGTCTTTCATGTAAAGATTTTAGAGCCTCCCAATTACTAATCGTCAAAGAACTCAGATTGGGAAGAAAATCGATCTCTGGAAACAAAACAAGACTTGTACAGTTTACAAAAGACAACTCTTTAAGGGATGTAAGGCTATGAATACCATGAAGTGGCTTACCAACACAACTCAAATTTTGCCACGAATTTGTGAGCTCTTCACAGCCAACAATCTTTGAAATTTTTTGAAATCCTTGCTTTATCCAATTTCCAAACTTTGGAGTACTTGAAGGAGCCATAGGATTTAAAGACCGGAATTCTGTAGATATAGTACTACGACACACCACTTCCTTGCAGTCATTAATTTCTATTTTGCATAGCGATGGAACACTTGAAATTGAAGCCTTCAACTCTGAACACTTTTGAATAAAAAGCCTTTCCAATGAAGGAAGACTATTAGGTAATTCTCCAGCAAGTTTTGGACATTCCACAATGGAAAGCTCTCGGAGAAGAGGGAATATTTCAACATCGTCATTTTCTATCTTAGTGTTCCAAAACCACCATTCTTGCAAATTTTCAAAACGAAGAACCTCTAATGACTTGAAAGGCATCTGGAAATCTATTTTAACTAGTCTCTTCATCCCTTCAATGGTGAGGTCTTTAAGTGAGCTCATCGTCCAGAGTGAAGGCAAACTTCCACAGTTGTAACAATTTTCTAATTTAAGGACGGTCATATTGGAGAGCGATGACAAATCTCCTAACCAAGATGGAAAACATGCACCACCATAGCACTTGATTACAAGTTCTTTCAAATTGCTATGAGGTTTTAGCATCTCAAGAACATGTCTTTCTACTTCCTCATTCGGTGAGCCATCAGATTGAGATCCCCATTCCAACAACAATACTTCTAAATCTTTCATATCTTTTAGTATGGGCTCTCTTATCTGGTTTTGATGACTAACGTTCTCTAATTTGGAAATGTGAAGCTCTCTTTGAAGAAATCTTAAATTCTTCAAATCATTCAAATTGAAATTTTTCCCTTTGACCACAATAAAATTTGACAATATTCGGAGGTTTATCAACTCTTTCATCCCAGACGGCATCCCTTTTAATGAGTTTGCACCTTTAATATCAAGATGACATAGATTGGTCAAATGTCTCAACTTGGAAGGTAATTTCAAAAGACGGGAACAATCTTTTAGTAGCAAAGTTTGCAAATTTAGTAATGAGCTTGTTGACTTGGGCAAACTTTTGATCATAGTGTTGGACAAATTGAGATACTTTAGATGTATCAAGCCTCCAATTGAATTTGGTAAACGTGTGATTTGGTATCTCTGTAGGGATAGCACTCTTAACTTCTTTGAATGCCGCAATAAATTAAAAATAATGGTAGCATCTATGTACCATTTGTCATACCAATTATCACTCATAAATACCGGAAAAAATGTTCTTAGACTTTTCAATTTTTGCAAGTCCTTGAACATACCTTTTCCATCATAATATTTAGAAATATAATAAAAATGACGAGTCCTTTCAAAATTTTTTGGTAGCATAGAATTGGCTTCCTCAAATCTAAAGCCGATTTCTCCAAAAACTGATTGTGCTAGATCATGAACAAGGTCATGCATTACATATTTAAAATTATTGCTACTTGATTTTTGGAAAAATGACCTTGAACATAGATGATGAAAATACTCACTAGCCAAATTCAGCTGCTTACTTGATTGTTGAATAATGCCTTCTCCCATCCACAAAAGCTCAAGTTCCTTCTCATCGAACTCATAATCTTTAGGAAAAATTGCAGAATAAGCAAAACATCTTTTAAGATGTAGAGGAAGATGGAGGTAGCTTAACCTTAACACGGGAAGGATGTCATTTCCGTTAGCTGAATCCCAGATTCTGCTGTTTAATATATTCTCCCATGCATCAACTTTCGGCTCACAGTGTAAAAGACCACCTAGAGTCTTTGCTGCTAGGGGCAATCCTCCACACTTTTTAACAACGCTTTCATGAAATTTTCCAAGAGCATTAATATCCATACTAGCCGAAGGTGCATGCTCCAAAAACAAATTCCAACATTCTTCCATCTGACAGACCCTTTAATTTATGAGTTTCAAAGGATCTCATCGTTAATGCAACATTTTCAATACGTGTAGTCACAATTATTTTACTTCCTCGTGCACTATCCTTGAATGGAGACTTGAATGTTTCCCACAAGCTATAATTCTCGTTCCACACATCATCTAAGACCAGCAGGAATTTTCTTCCACGTATTTCCTCTTTCAACCTATCTTGTACATCATTTAAACTATTTAGATTGCTGGATGAGGGACTTATTGACTCGAGAACTGACTTCGAGATTCTCATAACATCAAAATCGTCTGAGACAGAAACCCATGCCTTTTTCTCGAACTTGAGATGATCCAATTCCTTGTCATTGTACACCTCCCGAGCAAGTGTTGTTTTGCCGAGTCCTCCCATACCCACAATTGCTATCACACCAAAGCTGGTATCAATCGGTTTATCACTTGACACCATCTTAAGTATTTCTTTTTTGTCTTCACTTCTCCCATAAACAGCTGCATCAGTTGGCAGACTGGAAGTGGGTGGTCTTGGATCTGCTCCTTGCTGGGTAGATGCAGCAGTACTTGATGTGCCTCCAGAAGTCTCGTGCATCAATCCAAGTTCAACTCTTTCTTTATAAAGCTCTTCGAATCTGCCGCTGATATCTTTCATCTTGGATCGCATACTGACATTAAACTTTATAGCGCGAGGAGTGAAATTATTGAAACAAGAAGGCATATTAATGGATTTTTGCCATGAAACTTCATAGGCAGACTCTTCCAGTAAATCCTCTACATCATAAGCCAAGTCTTGGAGATCGTCGAGCCACAGTTTCACAGCGTCGTTCGTGTGTTGCTTCTCTTCTGCAGTGCGAAGAACCGCCTGAATTTTCTTCAACTTCTTTTCCCACTTCTTGAGCTTTGAACGAACCCCTTCTTAATTCATTTGCAAAATGTTTGAACAACTCAGGGGAAGAAAGTTTTTCAAACAACAAAGGAAGGGTTGCAGAGAGCAAAAGTTCAGCCATGGTTTTGGTAATCAAAAGAAAAGATGTGAACGATCTGAGTTTGAGAGCAAAGCAAATAGAAACAGGTTAATTTTAGTGTAAAGGATGCTGAAAATGAACTCTTAAGATACAAGAAAGTTACAGGCCTTTGTGGCTACAATACTTATTCAGGGTGGGAACCACTTGACCAAGACGTTTATGAAAATTCTAAGTCTATTTATTGAAAGTTACAGGCCATATTCTTTATTAAAATATTTCTATAGTCAATGAATTTATGTTACTTATGAATTTATTAAAATATTTTCTGTAATCAATAAAAATTACCATTCATGTCCAGTACCTCAGGCTGTATCAGGTAAAATCAATAAATAAATTTAGATTTTTTCGTTCTAACTTTTGTACTGATGATCAATCCAATTCATTGGGTATTAATATTTCAATTTAATTGTATGATTTTTCTTATTCAGCTGGGCATGCATCTCCTCTATTATGGTCTTTGATTTCTTAAGATCTTTGGGGCTTTCCAATGTTGAAAGTCCATATCATTCTTCGATATCTTCTCTATAAGCAAGTACCATGATTTAATGCATTTCAAGGCTTCTAAGTTCCATGTAATCTTACAATTTTATTCACCTAAATTTAGTTTAAGTTTCTAAATCGAGCATTAGATGATCTTATGGTGAAAATGGACCGACCCCGAGTAATAAACCCTAATTTAATGTTGATATAACTACCTTTCTTAATCATCATCTTGTTTTTGCCCAATTATATGAAGCTAATCTTGTACGTTTTTTTCCCTTTTTATATATTAATTATTTTTGCGAGACACATTTTTTTCAGAGAATTATTTCACCAATATGGTTAAAATGGTAGCTAGAAAATTAAATGGAAACTAATTGAAACATCCCAACTACTAACAAACAGAAACTTAAATGATTTTGTTTTCCTCGCACATGTGGTGGATGTGTCTTCATTTCTGAAATTGGTAGTTGGAAGAATTAATTTTTATGCAGCAATTAAATGAAAGTGGACCTTTTATGGCTTTCACGTAAACTTCCTAAATTTGTGCTAATCTTATTGAGTATTATCGAAACTTTTAAATGAATTATGTTTATTTATTTATTTGTGTATTTTTGCAGTATTTCTTGCCATTTGCAATAGAAGGCATCAATAATCTGATTGAGCAGGCGATTTTGGGGGCTGATAGACTAGGGGTTAAAGTCATTAGCCTTGCTGCATTGAATAAGGTCTGTAAATAATTAACTATTTCAGCTGGTTTTCTGAAAGGGAGAGCGACTTTTCAACCCCAAGGTTAGGCAAAACAACACTTTCCCACCCATTAAATTTCAAAACGACATTTTCCACCCTCCACAGCTTATGTTAGTGTTTTCTGCTAATATTTAACTGAAAAGACAAAAGTACCCTTACATATTTGACTTTATTATTTTTTATTATTCTTTTAATATCAATAAGTCAATTACCAAAATACCCACTCTTTAAAAATGAAATCACTAGCATGCCCTCAACTTTTATGAAAATTAAATTACCAATTTGTCCTTTTTTTATCCAAAATAATGTTTCAAATGTATGAAGTTACCGTTGGATTTTCAAAATATTAAAACTTGTAAAATTACCATTTTATCCTTATAGTTGCTGCAACCCTACATTGGCATTTATATTTAAATTTTGTCAATTTAAACCCAAATAAAACAAAGTACCAGCATTACTAACGAATTTATATAAAAAAAAATTTGTCAATTGAAACCCACTGAGAATAGGGAATTCAATACCAAGAAAGTAGGTTTCCACAAACTTTGTGCAAAGACAAAAAAATAGTACTGTAGAATTAAAAGAGAAGCAAAGTGTAAAACCAAGTAGCCACAAATTACAAAAATTTCATATATTTTCCCCTTCTATCTAGTTGTTTCCAAAAGTTGTCCTGAAAATAATTTATGTTGCCAAAACCATAAATTCCTAGAATACTTCAATCTCCTTGCCTTCATGATATCTCCATCTTTCTAACATTAGCTCTACACTTGAAATCATCGCTAGAATGATACCCTACACAAAAAAATATATCATTCTTTAATATTCTGTTAATTGAATAGAGAACATCAAAGTAACCAGCAGTCAAGGCAAAATTTGTGACTGATCCCATCAAAATAACCATAAATTCAATAAAAAACATCAAAGTAACCACAAAACAAGGCAAAATTTGCAATTGATCCAATCAAAATAACCACCGTTCTTTAATAGTAGGCCAAAAAATGTTGAAAGATAAAATATGACTGATCCTATCACCATCCCAAATTTGTAAATCGTTTAGAACTACAATAGACTAATTTATTGCCCAATAAATAAGGCTCGATAAATATTTTGTGGACCATCAAAGATGATTGTAATATTAAATACTCATAAAAACATTATCACAATTTTCTTAAACTATCATGATGTAACAACCATTGAATAAGTAATAGGAAAATTTTCTAAAAAATTGTTAATATAACATATTAAGATAGATGATAAACTAACTGACCCTGTACATGTATTTTTGCTGCATGGTTAACTGAAATCTCTTTCAAAAACAAAAGAATAAGTAGGTACTGAAAATAGAAAACTATATTTTTACTTGTGGATTTGAAACAAAACAGCCAATTGCTGCACACAAAATAACCCCTGCATTACTGTTTTGCTTGACCTGTTAACATGATTAAGAATAATGTTAGGGAAGCAAATAATGAATAGACATCAACACTAGTCTGGCCCTATCTATCAATGAATACCTATTGAACTTGGAAAATGTGATGAACTTGAACTCTTACTTGAAGAAGGCATTAAAGAAGATGCATTTCTCAAAGATGTTGCAAATCTAGCTCTTGAAGAAGGTGTAGTCATTGTTGGTACAAACATTCTCTACAAGATAATAAATGGCAAACAATATTAGTTACAAAATCAACCACATTAAAATTGATAAAATGATGAAATTAATAATACCTCTTGGGTTGTCTTGTTATCTTTGCAGGATCTCTTGTTGTGTCCCATGACTTTGCAAATACTACACCTTAGTGTAGAAACCTTCTTATTCTTTGGCTCTTCAGTTGGATCTCTCTTTCTTGCCTTTCGTGGTCTGCCAGACTTTACGTGCATGTATGGTGGCCATGTTTTTTCATCACTCACATCTGGCCAACTGGCCTTGTCTGGAACAGGATGGATCATATCAGCATATGTTTGCATGTACATTCCAATTCTCAACTTCTCATCCACATGCTCTTCAAAGTTGGTACTATTCAAAAACATCAAACAACAGAGCGCATGCACACACGGAACACCAGATATCTGCCACATCCCACAATCACACACTGGGTTCCCCAAAACTAGTGTATGTGTTCTACTTGGCATCACATTTTTGTTAATAACTTCAAACTCATCAGATCCAGGATACAAGACATAAACATTTCTAGCTGACTCCATTAACTTATTAATCTTTCTATGCACCACTGGTGGAAGAGCAGTTATCCACTAAGTAACAGCTTGGTACCTACACTGCAGCCTATTCATTACCCTCCTTCTGTATAGCTCCAATAGGATCAAAATGGGAAGTTCTCTACCCTCACCCAACCATGCATTAAAACATTCACTCATGTTATTGGTAATGTGGTCCGACTTAGCTATAGGGTCAAAGGCATGTCTTGACCATTGGTCAGGTTCATTCTCTAGTATCCATTTGTATGCGTCTTCATCGACCTCCCTTACCTTACCTATGGCCGCAAGAAAATCTACTCTGTTTGAAGCTCTACTCACTGCCCAAAATAAGTTTCTTAAGTGGACTCCGGGAAATTTTTTCTGAAATTAGCATAGACATGTCTAGCACAATACCTACTCTTTGCATGTGGCCAATGAATTTCTAATGCATTTAAAATACCTTTCTGTCTATCACTCATGAATGTGACATGATCTACATCCCCAATA